AGTATACGGTTTAAATGTCCCGTCCTAAAGACTGCGACCTTTCCAGTAGCGTGCATGTCGCGTGAGTGAAAACAGCCCGGATTCGAACTCCCATCCTCTTAGAGGCAGGGTCGCTAAAACTGGACTGGCTACTCACAAACGTGAAGGAGTCTTCTATTGACACGTAAGACACGTAATTCGAATAAGTGCGATAGCACATAAAGTATTCCACTCACCTCACAAGAACCGAAGATGTCTGAAAGGCTACCCTGCAGTTATCAGTAACCTACGTATGCTCATGAATAGTTATTTTAAACCACATCGCCCAAGGATGCTTTTGATCAAATCATATCACCCTAGCCCACGCCATGACCTCACTTATATCGTAATGATTAAAAAAACAACTTCAATAACAAAAAATAGCTTTCATTAATTAGCAACATCTGCTAACTGACGTAGGGTCGTGGCTTTCATATTTTATCAAGGACATATCAAACGTGTCTTTCCTTTTGAAAACAACCTCTCGTTACCTTCAAAGTGATTTCTAACGAGTTACTTAAAGTTTAAGAAGCAACACTGATCTTTTGAAAACCCATGATCTTTTTCTTTGATCACAAACTGATGATAAATAGCTAAAGCCGGCATTATTCTTTAGGGTCAATATATCTTTGCAACCAAGTTAGTTGCACGTTTTCCGCATTTAAACATTTTAATTGTTATTCAATAGTCTGTGTGCCATCCAGGTCTCACTACTATACAGTCTAGGTACATAGAAACTGTACGAAAGAGAGTGTGTAGGATAATCCTAGGCAGAAACTATTTTAATCTTGACAGAAAAAGAGAGAAACTGGATCTTACTCCCCGTACATGAGACGCCGTAACCTCTGCTGCATGTGTGAACTTTGCAATGTCTATAGCTAAATCCCCCATATATGACAGAGATCTAAGAACAAAGGACAACATAAAAACATAGATTTGCATTAGAACTCAGACGCTCTAAGTGTTCAAGCAATCAATAAGTTCTTAGTGTAGAAGATGTACCTTCACGGTCTTACGAAACCGAGGAATTGCCTACTACTGATGTTTCTTGTTGTCTTTTAAATCTGATTATCACACTCTTACATCATGCATGTAGATGATATTTAATTTATCTAGTCATGCGTCATACGTATCCGCTTTTGGTCACACAGTGCTTTTTATTTAGCAGACAGTGAAAGATCAAAGTGTATTCAAGCACGCGTGCATGGCCCTGCGGCAACATACGCAGTCGGGTGGCTCTCCCACTCGCGGCCGCTGGTCTATCCTCTGACGTCCCCGCCGGGCGGATCCAGCTGCGGGCGGCGGTGAGGGGGCGGGCGGTGTGGAGAACAGAAAGGTGCGCAAATTATCCACTGCCGGCAAGAGTAGGGAAATCTGTATCTGTATAACCGGTATAACCGCCCTTCGGCGTAACACACCAGCTTCGCTGGCATTCGGCACGGCGTAGCTAGCAACATTACACCGAACGACGTGTTACACCTAACCCTCGAACATCCAACTCTTAACATTGTTTAAAGCTATCTAATGATAATGCCCCTACTGTACTTGGTGACAGCGAGTTCCACTCTGTGATAGTTCTAGGAAAGATGTAGTTTTAACACCACAATCCTTGGTTAATTACTGTGGTACTTGCAGGCATGACTACTAGTAGTTCTTCTTTTCTTAGCTGGTATTACTAACTTAGGTACTTTACAAGTACGTAGTTGGTACGTCCACCCCTTTATTAGTCATTTTGTACATAATTTTGTCTGGACGTTTTTCGTCTGTCTTCCAGTAATAGAGTAGAGTAGAGAAGGATATAAGACACCGTTTTCCATATCTCTGCTGGATTTTCTTGTCAGTTTGGTGTGCAAACTTGTCAAAGCCGCCCAAAGTGCATCTTGCCATCGGCTAGAGGGCAATGCCAGGAAAGTCCAGTTTTTCCCTAAAATTCGATCATCATTAGCATTATGTAACAACCTAATTCCTACAAAATAAGGTATTTCCTGTGCCATTGCTGAGTCATGTAAGAAAAGCACAAATATAATGTGTAGTCTCTAAAAGAAAACACTTACAAAGACTTTTATGTCATCAGTTGGTCTTAAAATTCTCCTAGCACCTGGTTACGTAACTGCGGCCTAAATGTCACTTTAATGTAATTTCCTTTCTTCCGGGAAATATATTCAGGGCAAATTTTATTTTTCATCCATACATTAATGACCCGTTTCGTCTGTTTACCAAGCCATTCATTTGTGTTTTAAAGGCGTGCTATAATAACTTTAGCACACTAATTATACCAAGTATCCAGTAGCTGTGTAAATCGCAATGTCCTTTGGAATATCATAAAGAAACAACAATGATGATAATATCATGGTACTAAAAGGGACATGTTCTTATTCTATTGCCAATTTGAGACATAAAAAGGCCATTAACATGCTTACGTGGTCAGGTGAACGTAACAAGTTTCCTTTTATCCTGATAATTAAGGAAAATTTCCCGTACTTAACGTATCAACCCCCCCTCTCTAAAATACGTATATAAATCATTCTGACCGGGCCGGTGGCCTGGTCACATATCTGTCGCCACTGATACGTTTAGTATATGTTGTCGTGTTCTATTCGTGGCTTTACTGTTGATTCTGTCATAGCGTTCCTGAACATTCAAACGACCGTTCGTCCTTGGTGACCGCCGCGTGTTGAGCCTAACTTTTATTTTTAAGGCCAACTTTCCGACACCGGTACCTTTGCGGCTTTCAGCTATCACTGGGAGGAAGCAGCTTATATTGAACAGCGTTTGCGTGTATGTAAAGGACCGGCAGTAATCGTCGATACTGCAGTTATCTCCAACGTTAACATCAACAACCTTCCGAAATACTTCCTAAATCTTCGCACGTGGCATTATTCGGAGAGTGTTCATCATCACTTCAAGGTGAATTCGCTCCAGAAAGAGGTACGACTCCTTTTGCTGATTCCAATCAACCCTGTCACGACCTATATTGTACGAGTATTAGCCGTTGTTAAAGCTGACAGATCTATCTTTAGGTTTAGCGTCTTGGGATCAGTTAAAGATCGTGGTCCTTCGGATAAGCAAGACCTCCACATTAGACATTTTCAAACAGTCAAAAACCTGATCTATTGCTTAAACCATCTAACGCAGGAAACAACGAAGGAACCAACAAACCAACCACTCAAACCAACCAACCAGCCAGCCAACCAACCAACCAGCCAGCCAGCCAGCCAGCCAACCAGCCAGCCAGCCAGCCAGCCAGCCAGCCAACCAACCAGCCAGCCAACCAACCAACCAACCAGCCAGCCAACCAACCAACCAACCAACCAACCAACCAGCCAGCCAACCAACCAACCAACCGACAAACCAACCAACTAACCAACCGACAAACCAACCGACCGACAAACTAGCCAACCAACCATCTGATTGTTATATTGATCAGAGAGTTATTTGAAAGCCTAGAATACTTGAATCTCCAATACACAAGAATTTACAGAGAATGTCGTCTGAAAACACCACAGCCGACCAGCAATCCAACAGTACAGTGGACTGTGTCGTGTGTAAAGACCCTGCCTCGTGGTTTAATCAGCAGCAATCACAGATCTACCTGCCGTCTCTCATTTTCCTGCCTATATTTGCGTGCGTTGGGACTATTGGGAACGTCGCCGTGGCGATAGTTTATGTTCAGAAGAAGAAAACCTCAGCAAGCGTCTATATCCTGGCGCTAGCTGCCGTAGACTTGGTCACCTGTGCCATACTCATCCCTCTGGACATCACCGCGTCGGTTTTGCAGTACGCCTATCCAAGCGACTTTCTCTGCCGCTTGATTCCGTTTCTAACCCACACCCTGTCCGTATATTCTGTGGTGCTGCTGCTTAGCATTGCCGTCGAGCGCTACTTAGCCGTGCATAGGCCTGTCGCATTCGCTACCACCATCCCTAGATCTAAAGTAGTGGTGTCCGTAGGAGCTGTGGCTTCTGCCGTGATATGTTGTCCCCTTCTAACGGTGTATCAGCTAACACATAAAGCTAATGTAGGATGGAATGTTTATGTTTGTTCTTTTAAGGATGGCAGTGAGGGTCTTATTTCTACGTACTCTTATATGCTGATAGGCGTCACCTTGGCGGCCTCTTTGGTAATTACTGCCTTGTACGTGCGGACCTTTCGTAGCATAGTCGGCAGAGCCCACAGAAAACCTGTCATCAAAATCACCGCGACTTCTTCACAAACTATTTGGGGCAAAAAAAGTCGTCTTGGCGACATTCTTCGAATCTCTAGCCGACGAAAGACGGGAGACACGCTCTGTGAGAAAGCTCAATCCATTGCCGCTGTCTCTATGTCTGAGCTCGCCGTGCCAGAGGAAGGACACTATAGATGCAGATCAGATTCTCCATCAACGTCTGGTTACGAAACCTCGACCGTTGACAGTCCAAATCAAGACGATCGCGGATTGGCCAGCGGTTCGGGGGATCAACCAATCCAAGGCTTGTCACCGCCAACGAAGGCACCTGACACCAAGGACAGCACCGCAGGCAAATATGAAAGAAAGTCTGATACCAACTTTTATACCAGTAAAATTGAGCTTGCATCTAGAGAAAGTAGCACAGTAACTTTGAACGGAGAAGAAGGGACTAATAGCAGAGGAGCAAGGAGTACAGCAGAATCTAGAATACAGGCAAAATGGAAGAGGCAAGGGAACCGCATGGCGAAGATATTTATGTTGGTAACTCTCATATTCTTCCTAACCTGGCTACCACACGGGGTCATTACTCTATTTGCCCATTTTGTGCCGTATCATGAACAGCCCGCAACGTTGTTCAAAGCGTTAATGAACCTGTACAACGTTGTTTATTTGAACAATGTTCTCAACCCGTTTGTTTACGCGTTTGTTGGGAGGGATTTGAAAATTGCATGTAAGAACTTGTGGAAATGTCATAAGTAGCCCGGCACAACCAAGCGACCATCGGCAAAACAAACAACAAACAAACAAACAAACAAACAAACAAACGAAAATCCGCATAATCATGTCAAAGACTTACTTGAAAATGTATATTCATAACCAGTTTATAATGGTATTGTTGAAGTTAGGTGTTATATATAATTTGCTAGTTTTAAGACATCTTACAACATCTTATCTATCTTATGGAAATAAAAGTAGACCTACATAGTAGTAGTTTGATGATATATGTGCACCCGTTAGATTTTCTTGCACAGTCGGTTTCCAGCGGCCATATATAGAAATTATAATTGGAAACAAAAAGATGTTAAGCTTAGAGCATTTACGAGTTAGAAGTGATGTTATTATATATTAACTTAAATTAGATACATATATTTAACAGTGTGATGAAAGAATGTATTAGTTTGATCTAAGAACAGCATCAAATTTCTACATGTAACACTATTTCTGTGGTTGTAAGATTCCTCTCAATATTTCTATTAAGCTCTGAAGATCACTGGTACTGTTGCTAAATGTAGTCTACTCTAGTAACCTTAGCGATCGAATTAAAACATTTCTTTAGCGGCAATTCACCAAACGTACATTTGTAGGGCAACATACAAAATGTAACGTTAACTGTTTGACGAAGTTCAGTCCCTATTGTTGCAATTTATGTTTCTACATTTTATGGATATACAAACACGGACCATCTAAAAAGGCGTACAGAATGCCACAAAACGTGTTGTGAAGACCATAGAACATCATATGGTCACCCCGCATCTTCTTGGGGATAATTACGATGCCGTATTTTGTTCTCCCGAATCGGAAGCTAGTTTTCCTCTAGTCCCAAAGTGCTATCCCAGGATACTTTGCGGCGTGAAAGGTCATGTACCTCGTACCTCGTGTGTGGACATCAGCACATGTGAAGGAGACTTGTCGGCAAAACTGCGTCATAAGTGGAATTTAGGACACATTTCTTCAGTGTGTGACACTTCAGGGACTTATTGAGGTGTTATTGCAACGTTGTCGTCAGGGGTTTGAAACGGGACTAAAAGCGGTGAAAAGGCGGTGAAAATTGCGGTGACAGAGAGGTCAGAGCGCACCCTACCCTACCAACATGTCTGCCGCAGCTTCTAGATTATTCAACACGATCGGAAGAATCGGCTTCGGAATCGCTGTTGTCGGCGGAGTGGTCAACACAGCATTGTACAACGGTGAGAAAACATTGCTTAGTACCTTTTAGACACGTAGGGAAGTGTCCAGGTCATAACAGTGCTCATTGTGAGGACAATTTTGTGTGGGGAGGGGGGCATGGTTTTCCTTGCATCATACCGCATCACTGTTGCATGTGCATATTTTTAACCTCCGTAATAATAAATTGTGATACAGACAAAGATAAACAAGCTGTTTTTGTCTAAACCCTGTTTTAAGAAAATTTTAAAGAGCGAAAGCGTCGTACTTAACGACTCGCCTGGATGAGTTAGAAGAAGATACTTTTAAGTCACTTGTTAGGCCATGGTTAGGCCATGTGCCAAGTCTGGATGACCTCCAAACACATATAATTTGATTTTGGCCAGTTCAACTACTGTTCCCAAAAGAAGAAAAAAAAAGGGAAAATGTGATGAGAGGAAAGAAACAGGACAGGGCGACAACTGCTGATCCACTGATTTATTGCTGTTCTCATGACGAAAAGACTTGTTGGTTGTTACACTGTGTTCTTTTATTAAATTTGTGTCATAACATTTGCCACCCCTTATAATATTTCAAAGATCTAGGCATCTTGGTTTTTTTCGACTTGTCTATTTTTTTTAGCTCTCGCATTCTAGATTTAGAGGTTGTCATCCATAAAAATTACTTGGTGTGGCATTATGCAAAAAATTACATAATCTATTATAATTCTCACCTCACCTGTATTCTCACCTGTAGCCGGTCAATAGGTACCCTGTGTGGGTAATGAGACCGCACTTCGGGTAGTTTCGGCGGTAGCAGTTCTTCTCATGTGTTCAGTACGTAAAGGTGTAGTTGTACATATCCTGGTGATTCTTCCACTCGTGTGCAATATGGTTCTTGAACTCATTTACTGATTTGCTGGACACTGCTTCCTGGGAAAGAGAGTTCCACACTCTTGTGACTCTTGAAGAGAAGAAACACTTCCTCGTCCCGTGTGATTTTTGTACTTGATACTTGAAGGAGTGGCCCCGTGTGGTAGTTGAAAGACTGGGTTCAAACATGGTCCCTCTACAAATACTGCAGCTGTTTCCAACTCTTAACTTGTCATACCCGTGTGTGATTTTGTAAAGCTGGATCACGTCTGTCCTTTGTCTTCTGAAGTGGAGTGTCGGTAACTGGAGGGCCTGGAGCCTCTGGGGATAAGACAAGTGGGACACTGACTCCACAAGCTTCGTAGCTCTTCTCTGCACTCTTTCGACACTGTCCTTGTCTCTCTTGGTTCTAGGGCACCAGATCACTGTTGCATACTCCAAATGTGGCCGGACTAGGCTCTTGTAAAGAGGTAGAAAAGCCTCCTTGTCCAGGTACTTGAAGGTGTGCCTGATTGCACCCAGAACTCTGTTGGCCTTATTGACTTGAATCTGGACATGTGTGCTGAACTTGAGGTCACTGTCAATCGTCACCCCCAAGTCTTTCTCCTCATGTGTCACCTTCAGCGTGTGGAGTGTTCCATCTTCCTTCGTCATAGTGTACTCGTGTGTGGGGTTTCTTCTTCCCAGGTGCATTACTTTACACTTGTCTGGATGAAACTTCATCTGCATCCTAGATGACCATCTCTGCAAAGTGTTCAAGTCAGCCTGTAGACATGTGGAGTGTATATTGCTCGTGTGGATTTCTTGGGTCGCATGTGTTATGGGTTGGCTCGTGTGGAGTTCTTGAGTCGCATGTGTTTTGGCCTGGCTTTCACACCCATGTGCAGTGGCGTAGATCTTTGTGTCGTCCGCAAACAATGAAACAAAGTTATGTAGCTCATCGGGTATGTCACTGACGAACATTGAGAAAAGAAGCGGTCCCAACACTGACCCTTGTGGTACGCCACTCGTCACCGCTTTCCAGCTGGATGCTTGGCCGTTGACGACGACTCTCTGTCTCCGGTGAGTCAAGAAGTTTCTAATCCACAGTAGCAAGTTCTCTGCTATGCCGAAGGATTCAACTTTGTTAATCAACCTCTCATGTGGAACCGTGTCGAACGCTTTAGCGTAATCCAAAAAGATAATATCCACCGGCACACCATGGCTCAAAGCCTCCGTCCACACATCCAGTGCCTCTAGTAGGTTTGTGACTGTGGATTTACCCTTGGAGAATCCATGTTGTTGTTCGCATGTGAGGTTGTTGAGTCTCATGTGTTCTAGTATAGCATCCGATATGAATCTTTCTAGCATATATTATAAGACATTAAATCTTCATATACAGACTCATTTGCAATATCCTGTATGTTGTACAGTTGATGCTGGTCATCGGGCGGTCATCTTTGACCGCTTTACCGGAGTGAAGGAGACCGTGAGTGGAGAGGGGACACACTTCCTCATCCCCTGGGTACAGAGACCCATCATCTTCGACTGCAGAGCCAGACCTCGCAATGTCCCTGTCATCACAGGAAGCAAAGGTGCAATTTTTAAATTGCACATGTTATGTCAAAAAAATGTTGTGTGTCCTGTTTCAGTCCAGAAAAAGTTAGGGTCAGTAGATAGGGATTATCTTTTTTTTTTAGACTTTCTTGATCTCTAGTGATCAAACTGATCAATATAAAACAGTTTAACCAAAGAGCTAAAACTTGCACAAGAACACTTATATTTTCAATGTCAATGTTGGAAAACTGGTTGTGCAACATTTCATCACTTGCGTGTAATATCATGGATTGAGGTAGAAATGGTCGATAAGCTCTGAAAATTTATATCCCATGCAGGGGTCCACGCCAAAAAAAAGGCTAGGGTTGGCAGTTTCTTCTAGGGTCAGCCGGGAAACAAGAAACACAACATTTTTTTTTTCTAAGAAGGGTATTGCATTGGGGTCTGTTGAGGTTTGAACAAAAGGCCTTTTGATTGTGGACCAAATATTCTAACCATTATACACTCTTTATTTTAAAATTCCATCTTGCTAATTGTTAACATGTGGAATCTTTTGTATTGCCACAGATCTGCAGAATGTGAACATCACCCTGCGAATTCTGTTCCGCCCTGTGGCAGCGTCCCTGCCCAAGTTGTACATGAGCCTGGGGACAGACTACGATGAGAGAGTGCTACCTTCCATCACTAATGAAGTCCTCAAGGCTGTAGTTGTACGTACAACATTTTGTGTTGGAAAATATTGTTTTTCTCAATCAACTCTGGAATTGTTACAAATCCAGAGTTGAAAAACAATATTTTCCAACACAAGGATTGGACTCACCAAATTTTTGACTGTTGGCTGTTCGCTATCTTGATTTGGTGTTCTTTAGTTTAGGATAAGAAATATTTGACAATTTACAGTTGTAATACCCCTGCAGACTGCAATTAGGGATGGCTGCTCAGTAGCCATTCTCTCATTACCTGCAGGGAGAGGAACACCAGAGTTTACCATGCTCTATTGGACGTACCATTCCATGTCGAGCTTCCATGCCTCTGTACATGTGTAACACACAGTGTACAATGCTTCTCCTAAGTACAAGCACTACAAAAGAGACTAGTCCAGTGTCCAACTTTCAAAGTGCACTGATGCACCCACAGAAAAACTTGGGTGCTCGGCGCCAAATTTGGGTACACTTGAAGGTGCACATGCACCCAGTACATGTATTTCGAGCCCTGCACCACCCACTAGGTGCTATTGCACTGATACAATCTACAATTGTATGGAGATGTACATTTCCATTGTTCCCCAGGCCCAGTTTGATGCCAGTGAGTTGATCACCCAGCGAGAGTTGGTGTCTCAGAAAGTATCAGAGGACCTCATGGAGCGGGCAGCACAGTTTGGACTTATCCTGGATGATATTTCACTGGTAGGTTGTTGAGGAATACAATAAAAGTGTGGATACTCAATCATTAATGTTGTTGACATTGGATTATTACTACTGTACAAGAATTTTGTGATTGTATCTTAAAATGAAATGTTACTTATATAATGTGAAACCCAGCTTTCAAAATGTTTGTCCTGTACAAAAATTGTTCTTTGTGAATTTCATATATTCCCATGTACAATATGTAGGGTGCTGACTTCATCGATATTGAAAATGAATATTGAAGCTGTGAGTGATTTTAAAAAAATATTGCCATATCTAGATTTATTTATAGTACAGGTGTACTAAAGTCTTGTAGTTTGTAATGGGCATACATAAAAAGAGTAATAATGCTAATATATTGCCCTGCATTGTACATTTTTGTATGTTAACGGAGTGTTTTGCCATCAGACCCATCTGACCTTTGGCCGAGAGTTCACCTCCGCAGTTGAACAGAAACAGGTGGCGCAGCAGGAGGCAGAAAGGGCGCGGTTTGTCGTAGAAAAGGTGAGGTTGTGTCCGTACTTGGGCTGCAGATGTAACGTTTCACGCTTTCCTCCGATATTAGACCCATTTGACGTTTGGCCGTGAGTTCACCCTGGCTGTAGAGCAGAAGCAGGTTGCCCAACAGGAAGCAGAGAAGGCTAGATTTGTAGTTGAAAAGGTTTGTGACACATCAGTATACTGAATGTTCCTCTCAGCATTTCTGCTAGATAGCCACCCTGAAGAGTGTCTAAAAAAAAAATTGAAATTTTTTTGAAAATTGCACAGGGCTTCCTTGCAACTATGGACTAGCAGATTTGCTGATGTACATGTACATGTTCCAGTTACCAATTGTTGTTGCTTTGCATACTAGTACATGTTTGGGGATGAATCCAGAACATTATGGAGGAAAGTAGTCAAGACAAGTATCAAGCAACTAAATAAGTAGCGTGAAGAGTCAGACATTTTAGATAGCATCCAATGTCCTTATGTTTAATCTGGATGTCTAACCTGTATTGATATAAAATTTCAGTTTCATATTCTTTTTTTTAGGTAGGTGGCTTTTTGACATGGATAAATAAGAAAGAAGGAACTCATTTATCTAGTTTTTTACTACAATGGCTAACTCAATAACTTATTCCTCCCATGATACTTGTAAGTTCATGAAGTATAGAGGTCTGAAACTGAAGTGTAAAGGTCAGAAAACAAATAAAAAGCTACATACTAGTACTAAAACATTTTGTTTTTCTTCTAGAATATGCCGACATTTTTGAGTTTTTACATTTGGAGAAGACGGCAACCTACTATCATTCCCAGTTTTGCATGAAATACATGACTGCATTTCTAGTTGCTATAATAAATAAAAGGAAAATCTGACTCTTTTTTCTCTAGGCTGAGCAACAGAAGATTGCCGCTATCATCATTGCAGAAGGCGACTCCAAAGCTGCGGAGCTTCTGGCAACAGAGTTTGCTAAGGCTGGTGACGGTCTGATCGAACTGCGTAGGCTGGAGGCTGCGGAAGACATCGCCCTGCAGCTGTCCCGATCACGCAACGTGGCGTACCTCCCACCAGGACAGAACACACTCCTCTCACTACCCACTAATTAAGGTAAGATGTTCTTCTGTATCTTGATAGTAAGTTAAAACCCTTCCCACACTGTTAAGTGTATAGGCACAGCACTCCAATAATTACTGTACCCTTTGGGCAAAACAGCACTACAGCAGGCCAGTACTGGTACGATGTAGTAGTAATATGTACCCGTAATACTATGTGTGATATGCCAAGAAGTGCAGAATGTACCATCTTTCAAGTCTTTAGTATGACCTGGCCAGGGTTTTAAACTTGACCTTCCAAAAAGGCAAACCCTCTAGGCCTTTGTCTGCTTTTACATCACGTTTCTTTTGATTTTCACTGTGAGAAAAAAAAACAACAACACTACTCTGGAATGACATGAAAACAGTCTAAAAGGAGAATCTGGGAGTAAATTTGATCAGAATATCATTATACAGTAGGCCTGTTTTTGTCATTGATACATCTACCTAGTATTAAATACATTTTTTTCTTTTTCACAGATATCCTGGGATACCTGCAGTAACTTTTCAAGAGGATTACCGTGTAGTGCCACAGTAGCTTACCCGTGTTGTTAATTAGTATTTCTAGTCGTATTTGCTAACACTTAAATATACATTGTAGAAAATTGCAAGAAAGTTGATTCCATTAATACAGAATCTCTCCCCCTTGTGAAATACCTGAATTAGAATCAGCTGCTATGTTTTACAAAGATACATCATCAAGATTTCAATTCTGTATCATCTTGAATCGTGTAGAGTTATTTGTCCTTTAAAGATTGAACATTGACAATGGAACACTGTAGCAACATGGGGCTTCATTATGAGAGTAAGAAAGCACATTTGTAGGGAGGTGAAAGGTTTAACATACCAAGATGAGTTAATATTCATGACTGAATCAAGAAGTACATAAGATAGTAAATAAGGAAGAAGAGCAGTAAGCAGTTGCTTATCATTTGAAGCGACATTGTACCGTACACTGCAGAATGTTGTAGAATCGTGTATGCTTTAATTGAAAAGCTGGCACGTTTTGAAATGAGACTGTTTATTTCATCCCCTGGTCATGATTTGTCATGAGAATACTGCATTACATGTACTTCCATGTACATTGTAGTACTGTAATAAATGAGCAACCTTAAAACAAAGGGCTTAATTGTTTCAAGTGTCATTAGATATGGTGGTTTCTTTATTTTGCATATTAGGGATGGCATGTTTTGAAGAACTACTAAGTACAATGTACATTTTATGTAGCATTTGGGATTTAGCACCAAGTTACAATGACAAAATTATTTCCAACAAGTGTATAGTAAGAAACCTTTTTAAAGATAATACAAGTATCATACTTTTGTCTAATGAAACTCATGTTGACACTGGTCTAAATGTAGAACCAAAAGCTCTAGAAAACGTTTACAGGTACTGGGTATGGACATTAATGTAGACACTGAAATCAAACATTTTCTAGTGGATACTACTAGGTACTGTGGTGTCAGGGCTTAACTTTATATTAAACCTTTGGATTATCCCAAGCATGTTTCACTTTTGTAACTACTAAAAGTAGACAACAAACGAATAGTATCAGGAACTCATTTGGAGCAGAGTAATTTACATGTTCTGGAAGGATGTCAGGTCCTGCAACAGAAAGGAATATCATGTAAGCAAAAGCTGATGAGAATGATGGTGAGAGTTTACTAATCAATACACAATTTATAATATACTCTTGGGACAATTGATAGAAGAGTGAATTGGTATAGCCTGAGTACTATCCTGGTTAATTTATGGCCTTTCAAATAGTCGTTAGTCACTAGTGAATAGTTGTTATCCACCTCTGCTGGAAAAGCATACAAACAAAAACACAAAGCCAGCTAAAACAAAACCTCCTAGTCTGGAGGTACAAGACTTACCCCCCTCCTTCCCCTCTAGCCTTCATCCTCTCCACAAACGACTGGCTCTTGCTCTTGCGGAAGTTCTCAAAGGGGTCATTGACCGTGACCCCCACGCCCTTGAACATGTCAGACCTGTCCCTGACATCCCCACCTCGGATGGGCTCCTGGATGCCCTGCTCTGTGGCACCAAGGCCAGCTCCAGACCAACCTGTAACACACAACATTGTTGCCTTGTGGTTAGTGCTGTGTACTAGTTCACTGGAACTAGTTCCGGACTAGTAAAAATGCGTAGCTTTAAGTCCAAAAAAAACCAAAGCTAGATACTCATTTCCACCCGAGTGAAGTGAGGAAAGTCGTGTAAAGTGCCTTTCCCAAGGGCACAAGATCGGTGACATGGGCACCTCTTAGGTGTGAGCCGAACGCGCTACCGACTGTGCCACACGACCCACGTTTGCAGAGAGCAACACCTACTAGCAAAAAGTCTTTTACAGTAAGGTACAAAAACGGGTGTGTTGTGCCTTAATGTGGTTTACTTGTTATGTGATATAAAAACAGCACATTTACCCATTTTTGTCAGCAGCTGGTGTCCTTTGTTGGCAGAGCTTATCTTGGTGTCCATAGTGGCTGATTCGTAGAACGGCATGGAGCTGTAGGTACACAAAAACAACCTGTTATAACAACAGTCTGGTGTCTTACATCAACCTGGCTCCAGATCTTATTTTCATAGATGTTACCTGCAAAACTTCATGCTGTGGATATTTCTGTCTACAATTGGTAAAAAAGTTGTTTTTTCCACAGTACACAAAGACTTAAGCCTGACTTCCTTTACAATTAAATTGCTGCACACTGGTGTATTATGATTCAAAATATAAACTTTGTTTTTGATGCAAGCAGTTTATGAATCCGGTCTACAGGCAGGTTTGATCATGAGTCTTTCTGGTGCTCTACCTACGGGCACTGCAGCCAGTCTGATATTTGGCATAAGCAATGCATGGGACCACTGGAAACAGTAGAGTGCATGCATATGACTGTTCTTAGAATCTGAATTTTCTCGTGCTCTACCTACGGGCACTGTAGTCCCTGAAATTCAACATAAGCAATGCATAGGACTACTGGAAACAGTAGAGTGCATGCATATGACAGTATACAGTCTTACAAGCTGGCTGGAGAAGGACTCCTTGAATGTGACCTGGACCTTGAGCGGGAGGTACGTTGATAAGGTAGGGGGGAGTGGGACCCTGCCCTGTTGGAAGTAGCGGGAAGTCTATTAGCCATTTTAGTACAAAGGGCTTGCTTAACCTAAGGCTTTACATACCTTTTCACAGATCCCATGACACACATACATGTACATGTATGAGATGAGGGGCACTATATCATGGGTAGTGCAGGGAAAACACCTTTATCATGACAACTTACCATCACTTATGTGATGCATGCATGCTGTATCTGGTCAATATTTTTCAAGGATTTTGTAAGCCTCAAGTTACCCATGGTGCCTTGCATTTCCCAGCATGCAATGTGATCTTTGAAAATGATGGGCATATTTCCAGATAACTAACGTATATGGACTACATGTAATATATGTTTATGTGTTTAGTATCAAATTCTCTTAGCCTCAACACAATCATATGTTCTGGTCCAATTGTTTGCATTTTGATATACAATTTATCCAAAATCAGTAGAAATACTGTATCCCATCATATATTATTACAATTGTTGTACTCAACATACCTCTTTCTGCGAGGACTTGGTGACCTTGAACGTGACCTTGACCTGGAGTAGCTGTTACAAGAGAACAAAACGACAGCAATCAGAATTGATGCTAAACAAAGCAAGAATTTGAATTTTTTAATCTACAAAACTTATGTACAATGTATAAAACAAAAGGTAATTTTTACATCCTACCATTGTATTTAGAAACCTGTTTTCAAAATAGTACATTTTTCATGTGAGATTTACCTTCGAGATCTGGATCTGGAGTATGATCTATCCCTGGACCTGGAGCGAGATCTAGAGCGAGATCTGGAGTAGGATCGTCCTCTGGATCTGGAGCGAGAGCGATGCCTTCTCCCTCTAGACCTTGATCTTGACCTAGAACAAAATTTGTTTTTTCTTTAGATTATAACAATACAGAAAATAAAAACTTTTCAAATTTAAACAAAAGAAGTACATTTTATCCTGACCTGGGCAAAGGTAAACAGTGTTTTTACCTCCTTGGCCGCATCTTTTCCTTCATCTTCATTTGTGAATACCTTCTCTTGGCCTTGAAGAACTCGTACAGTCCATTGTGTTCCCAGCCCTCACTAGAAAAAAAAAATCAGTATACTCAAGTCATTGTGACGCTTGTTTAAGGTATATGATTGTATACATGTATTATCACAGATGATTGCACACAACCGTGAAAATGAGAAATTTGAAAAATGATCTTTTTACTCTTTTCCCCTTGAAGGGCAGCTGACTGCACCTGATTCCATGTATGTTTACCAAAGGAAAACATATTGTTTTTGCTCAGTTTCTTCCTCTTCTTCTCCAAACGAATAGTGTCAATGACCTGAACCAGATGTCTGCCACCATGGTAACTAGTGTTGGGTTACATCATGTTGCAATTTTATAGCAGGAGGGATTTAGACTCCTGTCATCATACATATGAATGTGTTTGAGTAAGAATTAACAGGGTGCAAGCAGACCATATGTGAAGGTAAACATAATGCATTTGCTTTACAATGTTACCTTTCTAGTTCAGCAGTAAGTTTACCTGTTCCGAGGTCTGTCATGAGATGGTGGGCTGTAGAAAGCCTCCACTGCTGCTAGAAGTCGGTCACTCGGTGGCATGGGAGGGGGCAAACGGATGTCTTCTGGGTCCAGAGGTCTGTACTCTGTATCTTCCAACTAGAGATACAGCCAGGAAAAAGACATTTAAAGAACAATTATGTGAAGAGTTCAGTACATAGTAAGTAGTGCTGTGTACCGGTTCACTAGAACTGCAGTGCTTGCTACAAAATTTTGCGGTAAAGATGCCCCATTTTCCATTGGGAACTGTTCACTGAGAAGTCCCTTCTGTATTTTGTATATGTTGGGACCTGAACTTAAACCGCTGGACTTGAATCTGGACCTGGACCTGAACATGAACGTTGGTTTGTAGCCTTTCCAGACTGCTTTGTTACATGTACAAAGTGTAGTACTAAGCAAAATCTTTGGAAACTTACTTTTTAACATTTTAATGGTGTCTCCTTTGTAACTTGACCTATTTCATTAACCTAAAAATAATTAAAAAGCTTGTTTATTACCCGTTACTGTACATACAATAATGAAAATCAACAGTTTCAAAGCTTTTAGTGTATTTTTACATGTTCGGCAAAGCTTGTGATTCTCAAAAGTGCTTATTTTTTGTTAGAAGAACTTGGAAAAGTCTACCTTGACCAGTGGTGCCATGAGTCCAGCTGGGAGTTCATAATACGGTACAGAAGGCATGAGATGGGCATCATCAGGCCGCATCACAGGGAGGTTAGGAGGGGGGATGTTAGGGGGGGCGGCAGGACCACTTGGACCCCCCCGGCCCCTGGTGGAGGGATAGGGGGCGGGAAGTTGGGGAACCCTGGAGGGGGTTTACTGAAGTCTGGAGGGGGTGGGAGGGGGTGTCCGTGGTTGTAGTCTTGGATGTGTGGGGGCACGGGGNGGGGGGGAAGTTGGGGGGG